GGGAATTCCAATAGATTTTTTGAAGACCTGGTCACCAAAACAACATAGATATTGTCAATCAGAAACTCAGGCATCTTTTTATTGTCAACTTCAGAGTACTTGTGTGTACAATCAGAATATTTTATGATCTCATATAAATAAATCAACAACAAACAACACTTTTAAAGTGATAAACTGTAAACTAAGGCCAAGATTCATGATTAAAGACGTTCTTTTTAATTAGTCTGCACTTTGTGATCTGGATGACCGAGCGATCCTTGGATCTCTATACAAGTTCCCCGTACTCTGGCGGAGACGTGTTGCACCTATTCAAAAGGCTGACAGGAGCAAAACTTTATGTTAATGCCTGTTGATAAAAATGAGTATAATCATCAATATTTATAAAACACAACTGCAAAAAAAAAATGTTTTTCGATGATGAGGAAATCTTGAATGTATTTGATTTGCATTTTATTCAGTGAATTAGTTTATATTATTGGAAGGTTATACATTTAGTAGTAAATGCAAAAACAAATGTATTCAAATTTAACTCTGTACTAGGGAAACATGCACTTTTATATTTTTTATGTTATTATATACTGAAAGGAAAAAGAAACGCAGGGTAGCATAATGTGCGAAAAAATTTTGACCACATGACCGAAAATAACGAAAATTAGTCAGAAGAGAAATTTAGTTACTGTGCACCAAAATCACTATTCAAAATTACTCAACCGAAAAATTTATGACGTCAGGTAGGGAAAACGCTAAAAGGCCCAATACACGTGCGATTTGATAAAGACGAGTTTGTCAACAAATCTTGTTGCATTATTTGATGCATTTCAGGTATGCACATCGTTTTTCATTATTAAGAGACATTATGAATTTCTTGCAATCTTGGCACAGTTTATGGAAGTTCAATGGGGTCTTGATTTCGAATTGCCTAATTAATGAAAAAGGCAACAACGGTTTACTAAGCAGTTTCTTGTAAATTTTCCCCCATAAAACTTGTTACCCATTGTCAGAGAGGGCCTGGAATGGTTTTCAATCAACCGTGACGATGACGTTAATGCGAAACAGAACCATGTTACGAGCGGGTTGTTCGTCCTGCCATCTCTTAAATCGCCATCTTACTACCTCTAAAACAGCCATTTATACAGTAGACGATTATAATCGATTACATTTATACGAAATTTGAAAGAAAACAATTCCGCAATTTGGTTTTTTGAGCCAGTCAACTTACTGTTGTATTCCTCTCACTGGCGCATGCGCACGCTGTTCGACTTATTTTTTTGCGTAGTTAACCATGCCAAATATAGCCAGGGTTTGAAAGATAAACATTCTGAGGAAATTCCATGCGAAGAAGAAATAAGGCCCTGACAGATGCACGGGAGAGACATTGAAGATATTGAGAGTTTTCGATTTTCACTTTTGGGGGGTATCGTCATTTGAGCTTCAATAATTCATGAATTATTAGACAAAATCAAATTGGAATTTGGTTATATCTCTTTGAAAGATGATTTTAAAAGTTAGATAGGAAAACTAAAACATATTTTAGGAAAAACAAATTTAATTCACCTCAAAAGTTTACCCTGCGTTTCTTTTTCCTTTCAGTATATTTAAAAAAAAAAAACAAGAATAAAAAAGTTAATGTGTTCATAAGGAATCCGGATAGGATGACAGTAGACATTTATCTGTACTTTTACAAACTGATTTATGTTGAAACGGTAAGATGAAGTGCAAAGATATCAAATTTCACAATAAATATTGCATGCTATCGAACCCCTATCGACCGTTAAATCATCTGCTGAAATATAACCCTTACGTGCTAAACAATTCTAATAGTCATTCTATGTCGATATTGAGTTCATTTACTACAGTACATACATGTATATGTATGGAAGCATCCTAAGATTCAAGTTTGTTCAAATCACGAAACTTCTGGTAGGAGTGGGACTGGGGAAGGGCTAGGTCACAGTAATTTGTATTTAATTTGAGAATACATGTACATTGTATATTATTGGGGAAAATTCCGCTGATAGAGAAGAGCAGCCAGTGGGTGATTGGTCTCTCCTAATATTTCGGCTGTAATTTTTTACTTGATACAGTTACAACAAATGAATACTGACAATTATAATTTGGTGAAAAAAAATTCAAATATCAAAAGGTAAACGAAATGTGTTATGATTATTGTTCAAAATGTTACATGTATAAAGGCAGGACCCTTATTTTCTTCTTTTAGTATCATATCTGTTGGAGAAATAATAAAAAGTTACGAGAACTAGAAATCAGATAACTGATCCACTAATAAAGTTCCAAAGAAATCCGTTAATATGTATATGTGTATATGTTCAGAAGACTGCAAAACTTTTCAAAAATTGATATAAACCCAAAATGAGTTTTAAACTTTGATTGTTCAGCAGCAAGTAAGGCAAACATGTTTAGACTTGATTTTTTTGAGGATTTGAAGTACTTTATTGTCCTGATAGGGGACATTAAATTTCATTTGTCTGTCCGTCTGGAACTCTGTCTGTCGCAAAATCTTTAACCTTGGTCAAATCTTTGAACGAGAAGAGGTGGGATTGTATATGTGTATTAAATGTGACGAGACCTTCCTAAATCTTTATGAGTCTTGATCCCATGACCTTGGGGTGTGACACTTTTCAAAAATTTTAACATTACTTTAATTTATACATTTGCGAAAACTTTTGAATGATAATAGATAGGGCTTTTGTACTAAACTTGTGTGTTACATGTGACAAGACCTTTCTAAATGCGCTATAATTTTTATCCCGTCACCTTGACCATGCAGTTTGACCTACGTTTAAAAAAATTAACTTTAGTTATAACTTTTCGATGGGCAGATTTCGGGCTTTCACATGTATATTACCTGTGACAAGACCTTTCTAAATATAACATGATTTTGGGCCCCGTGACCTTCACCTCATATTTGGTCTACTTTTCAAAAATGTTTCTCCTTATAACTTTTAATAGAGATGAGATTCGGCTTTCATACTTGACATGTGCATTACCTGTGACAAGATATTTACGTGCATGCCATGATTATTTGCCCCTTGACCTTCATTTTTAACCTAATTTTAAAACATTCAACTTTTGGATGACATAACGGTGTTCGAAATACCGATCTTCTTTTTATCGGTGATAGGATTTCTGGCATGGTCGGGGAGGAGGGTCCGGTCCCTATGGATATTATGCACCTAACGGGATAAAAAGTTAAGATTCAAAATCCTTGTAAAGAATCGTAATCTATTTTGACATACCCCGCTTCATCTCTACCGTTTTGCCGGACATAAATGGCGAATGATTGATGTGAATGTGATGTGCCACAAATTACTAGTATATCAGGATTTAGTTTTAAGGTCCAGTACCCTGATCTTGATAAGGTGAATAACCAGTGAATTTTATTTAATTAAAACATACATTTATGTTTTTCTCATTTGTATAAATTATTTAATTATTGTTTACATGTGTTATCAAAATTAAGCTCTTTGCGAATAAGAAAGTCAAAGGGAGGAAACACCTTTCTACAGTTGTGATTCGCAAAACTTATACATTTGTACATATGGCAGAAACGTTAAATAAGACAAAGTACTCATTAAAGCAGCGTGTATTCAGAGTTAAATAATTTTTGAAATTTGAACTAATCGATTAATGTTTTGGGCTCCTTCTATAAATTATAAAAAAAATTGTTTAAAAAAAATTTTGGTGATCATTTTTGGACAAAATGTCAATTTTTATGCGAAGAGGTTTATAAATCAATTTGAAAATTAAATCGTCTATATGACTAAGTGGTTGTTATGTTGTTTTATATAATTTTTAAAATAATTTTTTATGTATTGTTAAGAAAAAAATCTGTTGAAAAAAATTAGAGAATATTTACAAACATAAATAACATAAATATGCGTTTAAATACAATTCTTATTATACTAACACATTTTCTTTTTTTTTCTTTTAAATTAGAGCAATATTTTACCAGAAATACGGAAAAGGCCATAGCAATCTATCTAATTTTTTCTTCACAAAAAAACTTATTTTTTAAACAGCAGAACAATTATTTTTCAATCATTTTATTTCAAGAAACGATTACATACTCCCTTGCAAATTCATCTATAAGCCTCTCAAGCTCTGCACATATCCCGAACATCCACTCCATTAACTTAAACAAAGTAGCGAAAACTTAAGTCAAACTACATGCATGTGATATTGTCTACGGAAACACCATCTAAAGCAGTGAATGTTACAAGTTCAAATTGCCTCTGTTTTCCCTGTTCATTGTTGAAAGTGATCAAAAATTTCAGTAAATAATAAAATTGAGACTTGGGGATTTTTTCATCATTTATTTTGAGATTATATGAACTATTTCAGAGTGCATAACGTTACATACAACCAAAGTACACAAAAGATAAAATTCTAATGGAAGTAATAATCGTTTGCTTCTACTACAATCCATACATTTTTGCATGTACCCGTGTATTGTTGTCAGAGTCCGTCATATACAAGACATACGTGTGTGGTTAGTATGAACTTTCGATCAGACCTTTACATGCAGGCTTGAAGAAAATGTGAAGGTCGTCTTTTTCATTCTTTACGCTCAATACTTGGTTGTATTTGATGTATTCAACCTCATTTATGACCACAGCTTTTGGATTTGGGTGCTGGTTGATTATTTCATTGAGGTCATCTGTAGCGAAAAAAAAAAAACATTTAAAGTTAAAGATTTTCTTCATTGAAAATTCATATATAGCATAGTTCTCATTAAATATACATTAATTTTGATATAAAGTTCGAATTCGTTGGGATATTTTTCTCAGTTACTGTTGATTGCAAAAATGTACTTTTTCAAAAACGGTGTATATTTTGTAACGTGCGATACATGTGGAATTATATGTGTAATTAAATGAAAGCATAATGAAATCGTTATGTACGACAAAAATTCTATTAATATTTGGAAATTCAAAACAACCCAGTACACGTGCAATAAATAATGATTATAAATACCTGAGTCATCTTGTTAGGGTGAAATCCTCCTCGTCTTCAGAGTCCGACACAAGAAATTCTATGTCCTCCCCAAATAGTTCCTGGCGGAGCCGCACGATTTCTCTCCCCTTGACCTTGGAGAACTTGTAATAGATGTCTCTCATTGCTTCCGTCACAGCCATGCGCAGTCTCAAAGAATATCTGAAACACTTCTGTCCCGCCTCTCGTGCAAGGAAGTACCTAATTCATAATTTTGATATCAATAATAAATAATATCAGACATAAACATGTATTTCCAAGAAATATTTTTACGACGTCTCACAAGTTACATATTCATGTATTTATAATGTATACGGCATGTAAGTCACATGCTTACATTTTGTTATACACATTGTTCATAAACCCTCTGCTAACTCATATAAAATGTTTCTTAACTCTTATGAGTTCTTTCCAAGATTTTCCAAAAGAAATATTATGTTCTTTATAGAATACAAATATTGATAGCATGGGTTGCAGGGCAAAATTAGACAAAAAAGACACTTCAACTTGACAAATCTATAAAGGAATAATAGACATTTATGTCATTAAGAGTTATCTCTCTTATCAGAGTAATAATGCACCTTAAGCGATGAATCATTATTTTTTGAAAGATTATTGTCTCATAACATAACTGCAACGATGTGTGCAAACAAGTGAATAACGGGCGATAGTCTAATTGATTTGTTTGATACAATAATTATTTCTAATAATTGTAAATCTTATACAGCATGTTTATTACATATGGAATGTATTTTATTGAATGTGTTTTACTCTGATTATTATATATTATGTTTTTCTGTGTTATTTCATTTTAAGCTGAAACCCATGTGTGTAAATATGTTTGGTGTAATGTATATATGTAGGGAGAGGGCGTAATAAGTTTTTAGAACTTTTGCCCAATCCCAATAGTAAAGTATATACAATAAAATATGTTCAAATCAATTAACACCTACATGAAAATATAGATAAATTAAAATAAAAATAAATTTAAAAAAAAAAACTATACCTCTTTTGAAGCTGGAGTAACTGCAGCTCAAGGGAGACAATCTGGTCGTTTGATTTCTCGAAGTAGCACTCGGCTTTATTCAGATTTTCTAGATCCATGTATCGCTTGCAGGACAGTATCACCGCCATACTCCACACTGACAGATTAAAGATCTCAAAATGACACGGAATTATTGTTCTTCAGCTGTTAAAAAAGTGTCAGCTTGAGCACAAAGCATTAGTACACCTTTCTGAGTAATATTATAACTCCTCATTGAGTTAATTACCTTAATTAGCGTGGTCTGGTGGTCTTTATGCAGAGTAAGGTAATTATTATGTACTAAGAGTACACTCGACTGTTGCTTTAAAATTATAAACGTTAACGAAATTATACAGTAGTATATATCGAGTATTAAATTAAAAAATGAAATATTTTTTTTTAAAAAGTTCAATATTTTTGAGTTGCATTTTTTTTAAAACTTAGGTTATGTATAAAAGATGTTTCTTCGACGAAAACCTTTTATTATTTTAAGTAAACATAGAATTAAGAAGAAATTGTTAATTTGCCAAAACAAAAAATAAAATCACTTATTATAGTATTATTGCTTTCATGAGTAGCATCCAATCATATGAAAATTCTTTTTTTTTTCGAGTGAAGGCTGACAGTCGAAAAAAAATCTTGGTCTTAGATACATAAACAAATCTTTTCTTTTTTTTACCATTTTTTTCAATTAACTCAGTGTTTCCGAAGGGGAGTCCAACATAGTTTTTCTTTGAAGATCCGACGGGGGTGTTAAGGATAATTTTTTTCGTTCCACTTTAAAAGTTAAGTCTAAACATCGGATAAATTTCGATATCTCTCATAATATACTACGATATACGACTCTGCACTTACTATAGATCTACACAAACTACACGTTAAAAGCAAAATATGACACGATATGCCAAGCGCATTTGTACACATCTCTAAAGAATCTATTTCAGGTCTTTTTTTTTCGATTGTTCAAAGTTTCTGGAATAACAAAACAAAAGTCTTAATTTCAATCAATGAAGCGACAGACGTAAGATCCAAAAATTGAATTTCACAATGATGTAGTACCAGATTACCTATCTGAGACTATACCAGATATGCGATGTAATGCTTCTGCATATACAACAAGAAACTCGATCACAAAATTATATTATACCTGTGTGTAAATTGCAAATTTACAAATCATCATTTGTACCAACTGTAATAAATGAGTGGAATTCCTTACCTCTAAATACCAGACTTTCGAGCTCTTTGTCTACTTTCAAAAGTAAAATTAAACAAAAAATAACAGAAGCTCCGCCTTATTTTAACTTTGGTAAAAAACGCACCACCATACTGCACACACGGCTTCGGCACAACTGCGTGCTAAACGCTGATCTTTATAGATGTAATATAATATCTAGTCCACTATGCTCCTGCAGTAAGGTAAAAGATAAACATCATTATTTTTTCTCGTGCCCTAACTACAAAGGCCAGGAAAGAGTTTTTCGATAAGTTCTTGAGATTTAATAAAGTCCATATTGTTGACATTCAGACTTACTCGAGGGGGGGATACATAACTCAATATTGCTGAAAATAAATATCTATTTTCTATTGTACATTCTTATATTCAGCATTCTGGTAGATTTAATTGATTGTACTCATTTTTATTATTATTGTTTGTATAAACAATAATGTAGCAGTATATATATGTCTACAATGAGAGTTTATTTAATTTACTAGTAATCCATTTTATACAAACTGTTGAACACTTCTAATTCATCCTGTTATAATATCTCATGTAGGGAGAGGGCGATTTAAGTTTTTAGAACTTGTGCCCAATCCCATTGTTTATATTTAGTACAATAAAATATGTTCAAATCAATCATTTTATTCTGAATTTTCAAGTAGTTATTTCATTCTTACATCAAATGAATCTATATTTTTGTGTTTATGTTTTTATCAGGGGTTTGCAGATTATTAATAACACCATTAGCGTGATCTCCTTTCTGACTTTCGTCTTTCAAACTTTTCTTGTCCATTTCGTCTAAGTCCTGACGCGATAGATGATCGACGATGCCCGCGCCAAAGGAGTCTCCCAGTACGTTCACTGCAGTCCGAAAACGATCTCTGAAATATTAGGTATTAAGTACATGCAAGTATCAATGCAAAAAGTTCGTGTGATTGATAGAAATTGTTGTATTTTTATTTAATCACCAAAAACATATATCATAATTCTATTTTTTCTTTTTCAAAATAAATATATTTTCTGTCTGAGACAACCTCATGATACACTGTATACCATATATTATAAAACTGTTAAATATGATGGAAGTGATAATATGCCGGTACGATGTAAACAATATTTATAATAACATGACCAATCATTAGAGTAAAAGCTATGATGATTGATTGTATGGCATTTAAATGAAATCCTGTACAAAATTTTCGAGACATTCTTGATTTTATCACTGGAATCATCATAAGAGTCGGGGGAGATAATGACAATATTTTATTAAGCAAACATATATACAAAATCATTAAAATGTGGACTTACAAAAACCAGTCAAGTGCAAGAACTAGTCTCACTTCCTCCACAGGAAGTCCGACCGCAGACAAAACTATCGCCATGGTAACGAGCCCCGCTGACGGAACTCCTGCAGCCCCAATAGCTGCCGCTGTGGCCGTCAGACTATTGAAAAGATTTACGCTAAATGAAGAAGTTTCATTTTATTTTACAAGTTATGGTATACTGTTTTGAAATGGAAATACCCTTAAAAGGAAAGTATTTTACATTCCAGATATATTCTTTTTTCAAGTATCGTTAACCTAATGATTACCTATTATTACATATTGTTCTACACTGTATGAATATAGACTGTTACTAAGTATTGAGAATACTATCTTGTTAGATTCTATTACAATTCGTCCTATGTCTAAATACTCTCCTAAGCCTTTATCGTGCTAAATGTACCTTGTTATTGCAACCCGTCCTATTTTCAAGCCTCTCTTAACTACTGTACATGTATTAAGTATACTACCCTATGATTATTATCCGTCCTAAGTATACATATACTACCTGATGATTATTATCCGTCCTATATCTAAAGACACTCCTAAAGATACCACCCTATGATTATTATCCGTCCTAAGTATACATGCACTACCTTATAATTATTATCCGTCCTATATCTAAAGACACTCCTAAGTATTGTGCAATAAAGATGGCCGCCACAGCCTCATACAGCGCTGTTCCGTCCATGTTGATGGTGGCGCCAATTGGAGTGACAAACATAGTCACACGGGGGTCCACGTGGTTTCTTTTCTGAAGGCAATCCATTGTCACGGGTAACGTGGCAGAGCTATACAGACAGAAAATCATAAAAATGGGCATACTGTAGTTAATTTTGGGCTAAGCTATATATGAATGAGTCTGCTAATAAAAGTGATAAAGGTCTTAATTTATTTAAGTTATTTAAGTTTGGAAGTATATTTATTTAAGGAATCATTGTCTAGTTAGGAGAGTATGCCAGGGCATCAACAATAGTGGGAAACATGGGATAATTTTCATAACGGGCGAAGCCCGTTATGCTAAAATTATCCCATGTTTCCCACTATTGTTGATGTCCCTGGCATACTCGCCTAACTAGACAGTGATTCCTTATATTTTCATTTCATTGCGAAATAAAATGGTAGATTTAGACTTTAAAAATGTAGACATAGACTTAAATTACACGAGGACTTCCATGCCAATTTCAATAGTCCGCGCCCAGTGACGTGAAACACCTAGACAGCCGCATGAGATTTACATGCACATTTTGCCTCTTTAGCGTCAGACATAGAGACAGATGCGCACGAGATTTGCATGCATTTTAGGCCTCCTTAGCTCCTGACTAATTTACATTCCGGCAGAATTATCAAGAAATAAACTCCAACAACTTTCAAAGAGTTATTGCAGAGAAAACAAATAGAAATGGAAATATTGAGCTTTATTTTGCCAGTTCTAAAATAATGTGATTTGAATTATACTGGCAGAAAGACATTGTCTAATATATCCCTGCACTTAGCTGAATCTGCATGAATTTTTCATGCAAATGTAAAAGATTCAGCAATCATATTCATAAGTATGAATATTTATACATTTTTACAAAAATGAATATTAGACAAATAACTAAATGTGCAAAGAATTATTTACAAATTTTCTCTAAACCTTTTCAAAATTTTATATTATAAAATAATGAGTTTATTTAAAAAGATTGCTTTTAAAAAGAGACTATTGCCTCCACAGCAATTGCAGACAAAAGTCTTCATATTTGTATTAAGGTCCTGAGGACGTTTTGGATCATATTAATAAATATAGCAAAAGAAAAAAGTGGAACCACCTTAAAGATACACAAAGAACAACAAATATGACGAGAAGAAAAAAGAACATACCGCGCATACCGAAAAGTAGAATCGGAAGGCAAGTCATAAAGAAGACTGTATAATTTGGCATATTGTATATCAAAACCATTTAAGTCCATTATAAGTAATTGTATTTTCGTATTTATCTTAAAAACCTTTTAAGTGCACATGTACCTTGATGCTGTGCCCCAGGCTGTAAGCATTGGCTGAAGCATTCCATACAGAAACTTATAGGGATTCTTCCTCGTAAATAAAAAGTAAATCAGTGGCAGAACTATAAATGCATGGATTGCCAGTCCGACCAATACAGTCAACATGTAGTAGCCAAGCTGAGTAAACATCTCCATCGGCTTCTCCATTCCAACAAGTTTTGCAGCGATAAGGAAAATTATTCCAAACGGTGAGTACCTGTTAAAAGACTGAAATCGTTATACGCAGAGAACAAGATATTTTGAGCAATTGCATGAATACTGTAAGTGATAAAAATTAAGCTTGCTTATGAATTGTAAGTTTCGCTTGCTTTATAGGAATCTTTTCAGGCCAATTTTAAAGATTGTACGTATATAAAAAAAAATAACATAACAAACGCATTGACTAAACACCTAATTTATCAATGCCTGGAAGAATACTGTATACAGGGTTATTTTCGCCCTGTGTAATTTTCGCCCTTTTTACACATGTTATCAATTTTCCCCCTTTTAAATTCGCCAGATCACAGATTTGTTTTAAGAATTTATGTTC